GTGTGTGTGTGTGTGTGTGTGTGTGTGTGTGTGGGTGGGTGTGTGTGTGTGTGGGTGTGTGTGTGTATTTACCAGCAGAGTGTACTGTCCAGTACATGTATGAAGCAGTCTGTAGGTATACACCACCTTCTTTTTACTGTAAAGATTAAAAAAAAAAGCTGAATTTCAAATTTACAAATGAAACTGCTGATATTTGTTTCACAAACAAAGATCAATAAATAAAACTCGACACTAAAAAAGCCGACCAAGCTACTTAACACCTTTAGAATCTGTCAGTCGGTGTCCATAGAGGAAGACACTCGTCTTTACACCGATTATCTGTGGTGATATCTTGGTTAACGTTGAGTCATACACTCAAACATGGTAATCACAGGAAGTAAAACAAACGGAATAAAACTAAAGATGTATTTTGCTTTTTTAAACAAATGTTTGACAGAGTAAAATGTGTTTTACACAGTGTATAATAAATACTTGAAAAAAAGAAGTGAAATACTCTAAATTTTCAATAAAAACTATCCGTATATAATATCTAGTACCACTGGTAATACAATGGTAGCATGAAAACAGACTAACACCATCACAGTTCTGTTCATTGGTATCCTAATGCAATATTAGAATTATCAGGTGTGAAATGATGAAACGTTTTAAACAGGAACTTAAAGAAACACGCAGATAAATTTAAAGTACTCACTAGACACACAGACACAAGGCTCCCTGGATGGTCTCACTGGCTCGGATCAGATAAGCTCCGTCCTTGTTCTTCTTTCCCAGAAGATCCTCACACTCCTTCTTGCTGATGGCGCCGTGGTAGCACAACGGCAGGGCTGTCGCCATGGCGAGGAGACACTGAGACGTCGGGGAAAATCCACTTCACTGGGCACCAGCCTGTGCTCCTTCAGATCCCCTTCATTCCTCGCAGCAGCAGCAGCAGCAGCAGCAGACGTGCGTTCCCTCTGCTGCCATCGAAGCACAGCGCTGGCAGAGAAGTGGTGGAGAGGATGGTGGTGGTGTGAGAGGATGGAGTGAACAGAGGTCAGCACCCGACACAGAGAGAAAACACAGAGAGAAGAAAACCAGCCCACAGCTTTACAGGAAGTGTGAACATTTACAATTGTGCATGTGTGACGGCAGAGGAACGAAGTGAGAGATGCACATTGAAATTATTGAAAAGTGCTGATTTTACAGTAAAAAGTCATAATATTACAAAAACTAACTCATATTTCGAGAATAAGAACAATTTATGTTAGAATAAAGTTATAATACGACTAATTAATTTAATGAAGAACCACACGGAGCTCTCTCATTCTTTTAACTGCTGGTTATTTCCTTAAAAAAATTATTCTTCTTTCAATGTTTTGACTTTTTCTAAGTACCGAGCTCCCTCTCAGAATCTTTATGTTCATGACGAGCAGTAACAGAAGTGAACACACAAAGTGAACACACAAAGTGAACACACAAAGTGAACACACA